ACATACTGGCCTGAGTAAAAGACAGAAAGGCACTCCCCAGAGTAGCAGTAAATGTTGGGTAATGAGTAGAGCGCCACTGATCCTATGTATTTTTTTAAGTAGTAAGTGTAAACTGCCAAAAAAAACCCTTTTCATTCTCTCTGCTGAGCGCCTTGTTTGGTTTCTTTGAATTCCCTTTATCCACACCAAAGAGGACTTTATATCTTCCTTTCCAGTTGTCTAAACTTAGTTCCTATTATCGCCACCTCTACTGTGTTCCGATGTTTCTTGTTTAGAAAGATCTTTGTATGAACACACACCAACAAAACATTAAACGGACAAGAAAAGACGAATTTGACTGGCTGTTTAGCGACCAGACTCAAATGGGTTATGCGCACATCTTTTGATTGCCTTAGCGAACACCCAACGCATTCCTTGCCAGGAAAGAGATAATTGAAAAGTAATTGATCCATAAATTGGGGCAAATGAAACGATCTTGGTTTTTTCAGTCGATCTTTTTCAACTATTGGCTGATGAAACAAATGACAAACACTTGGTTCGAAGGGAAGGTCAAACCAAAACTGTTACCTTTATTGTCCTGATCGCTCGCTTTGGATCATTGGCTTGCAGTCTTACTTCAGCCAGCACTTTGATGTTGTTTTTCCTCAGCCTGTCTGTTAGTTGATTAGAAAGCTGAAAGATAAAAAGAATCTCAGATCCCAGATTTATGCTATTCGACAATCAAAAGATCAAGTGTTGACATCGTGGCATGGTGGGATGAGGTCGTATGGGGGAGGGATGGCACAGTGCGCTGGTTAAGCCAGTGTGCTGGTTCATTTTTGGGCTTGACCTTTATTTCGTAAGGCTCTCAGGGTTCTTCTTCCGCCGCCAAAGAAAAAAATAAATGAAGGAATGAATGAATAAATAATTAAATAGATAAATAAAACATCGCATACAGTCGAACCCCGTTAATATACGGACACTGAAGGGTCAAAGGATGTGTTCGTATTAAAGGGGTGTAGGTATTAAGTGGTTGAATTTAGAGAAAATATGAGGGCTTTCTTTTTCAAGGAACAAATCAAACTGTCCCTAATAACGGGGTGTCTGTAAAGCTGGGTTTGACTATTCCAATCCGATCCAGGATTCAAAGGCCACATGTTGATCAAATGTTATCAGTCTTTCAGACTGTTTTGTAGTGCTTTCGTCAAATGAGTCGATTTATTATCTTTTCATTTCTAATGCACTGTTTTTCCGTAGACTTCTGTCTGTAAATCTGGTCCTTAGTCTGTCCGGCCATTCTCTTCGTTAAAACACTGTTTAATAATCCGGGATTAATTTCCTCAATATTACCTTAAGATATTGAACGCTATCTCCGTAGATGATTCCAACTTCATCCCAGCCATACTCCTTGACGAATTCTATTCTCGGTGCATCCAACGAAGCAATAGACGTTGACGTACGAAAGAAGTTGGGATACAAATCTCGTCTGATTGCAAGATCCACATCAGTCGTGCCGTAGGAAAACTAAAATGGAGAAAAGAGCGTTTTTGTTACGGGAAATGATTGACCAGCAAGAGGTCCCTTCAGCTTTGTTGGTGCTGTGAAGATCCCCGTGTGACTCCACCACCGCCAAAGTGATACCATTGGAGTTCAGATTCAAAAGTACAAAAAATAATGTCTTCAAGCCAGAACAGTACACATTGAACTCGCACCGCAACAGTTTTGAATCTCTTTTTTCGGGCAGGCCTCAAAAGGTTTTTTAATGCTCAGATCAGCTACAGATCTGCGATGGCCGTTTATTTGGTCAGATTCAAGAGAAAGAGAAAAAGGAACAATGTGCTTCCAAATGGAATAAGCACAAGTATGATTGCGTGGCAGAGCAAAATATTGAAATATTGAATCTCCTCCTCTCGGTCAAACCCGGGAGGAAAAAGATAACTCTTTCAAAACACAAGTTCCAGAATTGATGACTACAGTAATAAGCAGATACCGTGACAGACCTCACAACGTCAATGAGCTACAAAGCGTTGTGTTCTACATACTTGTAGTAGACCAACTTCTGGAATCCCAGCATACGCTGCCACTGACTTGGCTAATGAATCTGTCCCCGGTCCCAATAACATGATTTTCTTTGGCTCCTTGGTGAGGAATTCCTGGAGAACTTTCTGTCCAAACCCGAAGCTACCCTTTGGAAAAACGAAGTTCTTTAGTGTCATTACGAAAAAAAATTTCCTTGTATCTGTATGATACAAGTTCCCTCCCATCAACATGACATGACTTGCATTGACTTTTATCTAGATGATACAAGTCCCCTCCATTCCCCATGCCTTGTACAATGTATGTGGAGGGATTGGGAAGTGGGGAACAGAGAGGTCCAAACCTCTCTCCTCCCGTACCTTCACTGCAGCCATCACAGATTGGAGTCCGATTTCACTGGGTTAAATGAAGCGTCTACAAGCTAACAAATGAATAGAAAACTGCAGTCTCTTACTTGCGTCGAATTGACCACCAGCTCCAGTTGGTACCCTGGCAGTATTTCAGTGTTGTTGTTAATCTCGTCTATAGCTTGTTGTGCCATAGGTAGGCTTCCGTATCCACTTTTCACCCCGAGATCGAAAAAAGCTCCAATGTAAAGCCTGGTTAGTTGCACTGTGGTGGCGTTACTGCTGCTATTTGTTGGAATGCTTGCGTTTGTGGTATTTGTAGAGTTTCCTAGTTGCGCGGTACTAAAATTAACGCAAAAAATGACGACGAAAATTGTGGCCAAAAAAAGATTCTTCATGGTTTGATCTACAAGAAAAAACACAAAGGCTCGTAATTGGACCTCTCGCCCACATGTTTAAAACAGCAATTATAAAGAATACGTTTTATTCTGGAAACCGAAACGAGCTGATTTCACTGAAGCAATTACAAGCCCGAATTTACGATGGTTTAAAACCACCTTGACAGGTATTAGTCAGTAGCTTTCATTGTATTACTAGTCAGTTACCGATAGTTTAATAGACACTTTATAAGTAGGAAGGCTTATTAAACAATTTTCATTTGAGTTCACAATCCACAGTTTTAGGTCAATGGCTCAGTCTCAGGGAATCATGAAGCCGTGATGCTGAGTTAGCTACGTTGAGTCGAAGACACCGTACTCGAAGTTAAACTTTCACAGTCGTTAACTTAGAGAATATAGCCGTAACTACACTTTATGCAAGTTCACAAGGAATTACGATGTTAAAATACGCCTGTTGAAATACGCCGACAATTGACATGAACTGCCTCTTGTGACTGATAAAAACTAAGAACAGTTGCACTTACTAAAAAACCAGTCAGATTGTCAAATCAGAGCCGAGGACATCCCAAAATGATAAAGCGTTCCCTCGAGTGACTGAAAGTTCCTTGGTTTTATTTTGGGTCACTATTGCATGACAAAATCACCGCTTGCCATATGATTAAATCAAAATTCACAACTTAACCAATAGCTTTCAGTGTTGTCCGTGACGGACGTGATTGTAACTCATTGACAGTAGTATGTGAACTATAAGACGTATATCGCACATGAATAAAGCTAAGAAGGGTGAAAGCACGAACACGTTCAATGCAAAAACTCAATTAAAAGCCGCGAATTTATCATTTTAAAATATAAAAGAATTTCGCACAATCTTATTTGTATTTTGTTTTATCAATTTTGGCAATGAGCAAAGCACCTTTCAGTGTTTATAATGACAGGTAAGGTGGTCTATGTTGAGGACATTCTTTCTTAGGGGCTCGAGTGAATGTTATGGTAACCATATCATAAGGTGATATGTAAACTAGAGCTTTCAGGTAAGTAATATCTGTTTGCATAGAGCTTGTGATCACAGATCTAGGCCTGAGATTGGTCACTTAAACAGTGGCTGGTGCCTCTGAATCGCACGCAAGAAATACTACAGTCCCTGCATTGATACCTTAAGCCTTTCCTTTATCATTGATCCTTTAACAAAAACAATCCTTTTTATCCTTAAACTAAAGGGTTTGATTCCAAGTGTCTTTTAGTTAAAACACCGTTTTGTCAAACTCGAAGCAATAGACGTTGACGTACGAAAGAAGTTGGGATACAAATCTCGTCTGATTGCAAGATCCACATCAGTCGTGCCGTAGGAAAACTAAAATGGAGAAAAGAGCGTTTTTGTTACGGGAAATGATTGACTAGCAAGAGGTCACTTCAGCTTTGTTGGTACTGTGAAGATCCCCGTGTGACTCCGCCAAAGTGATACCATTGGAGTTCAGATTCAGAAGTACAAAAAATAATGTATTCAAGCCAGAACGGTACACATTGAACTCGCACCGCAACAGTTTTGAATCTCTTTTTTTGGACAGGCCTCAAAACGTTTTTTAATGCTCAGATCAGCTACAGATCTGCGATGGCCTTTTGTTTGGTCAGATTCAAGAGAAAGAGAAAAAGGAACAATGTGCTTCCAAATGGAATAAGCACAAGTATGATTGCGTGGCAGAGCGAAATTTTGAATCTCCACCTCTCGGTCAGACCCGGGAGGAAAAAGATAACTCTTTCAAAACACAAGTTCCAGAATTGATGACTACAGTAATAAGCAGATACCGTGACAGACCTCACAACGTCAATGAGCTATAAAGCGTTGTGTTCTACGTACTTGTAGTAGACCAACTTCTGGAATCCCAGCATACGCTGCCACTGACTTGGCTAATGAATCTGTCCCCGGTCCCAATAACATGATTTTCTTTGGCTCCTGGGTGAGGAATTCCTGGAGAACTTTCTGTCCAAACCCGAAGCTACCCTTTAGAAAAACGAAGTTCTTTAGTGTTATTAGGAAAGAAATTGCCTTGTATCTGTATGATACAAGTTCCCTCCCATCGACATGAAATGACTTGCATTGACTTTTATCTAGATGATACAAGTCCTCTCCATCCCCCCTGCCTTGTATGTGGAGGGATTGGGAAGCGGGGAGTTCCGTACCTTCACCGCAGCCATCAGGATTGGAGTCCGATTTCACTGGGCTAAATAAACCGTCTACAAGCTAACAAATGAATAGAAAAATGCAGTCTCTTACTTGCGTCGAATTGACCACCAGCTCCAATTGGTACCCTGGCAGTATTTCAGTGTTGTTGTTAATCTCGTCTATAGCTTGTTGTGCCATGGGCAGACTTCCGTATCCACTTTTCGTCCCAAGATCGAAAAAAGCTCCAATGTAAAGCCTGGTTAGTTGCACTGTGGTGGCGTTACTGCTGCTATTTGTTGGAATGCTTGCGTTTGTGGCATTTGTAGAGTTTCCTAGTTGCGCGGTACTAAAATTAACGCAAAAAATGACCACGAAAATTGTGGCCAAACAAAGATTCTTCATGGTTTGATCTACAAGAAAAAACACAAAGGCTCGTAATTGGAGCTCTCGCGCGCATGTTTAAACAGCAATTATAAAGAATACATTTTATTCTGGAAACCGAAACGAGCATTTTACTGAAGCAATTACAAGCCCGACTTTTACTCCGGTTTAAAGCCGCCTTGTACAGGTGTTAGTCAGTGGCTTTCATTGTAGTACTAGTCAGTTACGGATAGTTTAATAGACCGCGAGTTTCGAAGTAGGAAGTCTTATTAAACAATTTTAATTTGAGTTAACAATCCACAGTTTTAGGTTAATGGCTCAGTCTCAGGGAATCATAAAGCCGTGATGCTGAGTTAGCTAGGTTGAGTCGAAGACACCGTACTCGAAGTTACACTTTCACAGTCGTTAACTAAGAGAATGTAGCAGTAACTACACTTTATGCAAGTTCACAAGGGATTACGGTGTTAAAATACGCCTGTTGAAATACGCCGACAACTGACATGAACTGCCTCTTGTGACTGATAAAAACTTAGAACAGTTGCACTTACTAAAAAACCAGTCAGATTGTCAAATCGGATAGAGCCGAGGACATCCCAAAATGATAAAGCGTTCCCTCGTGACTGAAAGTTCCTTGGTTTTATTTTGGGTCACTATTGCATGGCAAAATCACCGCTTGCCATATGATTCAATCAAAATTCAACTTAACCAATAGCTTTCAGTGTTTTCCGTGACGGACGTGATTGTAACTCATTGACAGTAGTATGTGAACAATAAGACGTATATCGCAAATGAAAGCTAAGAAGGTTGAAAGCACGAATACGTGCAATGCAAAAACTCAGTTCAGAAGCCACGAGTTTATCATTTCAGAATATAATACAAATCTTATTTGTATTTTGTTTTATCAATTTTGGCAATGAGCAAAGCACCTTTCAGTGTTTATAATGACAGGTAAGGTGGTCTATATGTTAAGGACATTCTTTCTTAGGGGCTGGAGTGAATGTTACGGTAACCATATCATAAGGTGATATGTAAACTAGAGCTTTCAGGTAAGTAATATCTGTTTGCATAGAGCTTGTGATCACAGATCTAGGCCTGAGATTGGTCACTTAAGCAGTGGCTGGAGCCTCTGAATTGCACGCAAGAAATACTACAGTCCCATTGATACCTTAAGCCTTTCCTTTATCATTGATCCTTTAACAAAAACAATCCTTTTTATCCTTAAACTAAAGGGTTTGATTCCAAGTGTCTTTTAGTTAAAACACCGTTTTGTCAAACTAGGAAAAAGAACTTTCATGACTTATGCATGTTGTCGCTTATGTAATAAAGGCATTATATATGGACAGTTAATGGCCTTGGAGCGTTATGAAGGACACAAAGAGAGAAACGGGTTTTGGAAAAAAATTGATTTACTTGTACAGTTTTAACTGATTGTAACTGTGACTTACAGTTATCACTTTCGTTTTCGGATTCAAGCAATCTTGCACAAAATAAATGGGAAATTTAGACTCCTCCGCCCCCTCCAAATGAAATGGGAAAATGGCGCGTTTTGCCCTTCGCGCTGCTTCATCCTTGTTTTGAGGGTTGGGGGTTTGCTGTTCCGTTTTATTCTGTCCAACATTTTTGCTTGCTTTACTGGCCCCTAAGCAACAGCCACATCCTGATAAACCAGTGGCTAACGGGATACCTTTTTGATAAAACGTACTGCTAGTATATTACATCGAGGGAGCGACAGGCGTTGTTGAACAGATATTGCTTAAGGCTGAGATCAAGGGCGACTTCGGGCCTCAGTCGTTGGTAGATCAAACTATAGCCAAGATACGTTGGAATTCAGTTTGACAGTTAAAGTGACAACTACAACTTATTCTTGGCAAGAAAGAAATGCTTTTGTTGAAAGGGACAGCTTATTTCTGACTTTTTCAACCCAACTGTAATCTTAATTTGTTCTTAAAAGTGGATTGTTTCTCCTATTTCTTGAGTGAATTAAACAAAGCTGTGTTATCGACTACCAGGATTTGTATATTGTCGTAAAGTACAAAACTTAAACCGATTTACAAGCTTATAAATTGTTTAAGAGATAAACTGTACGTACCGATGTCTTGCATTGATTGATCAGTCACCGTTAAATTTCAAGTTCATGACCGATTCAGAGAGGGTGCTTAATATCTGTTCAAGTACTTTTGGTAGTTAACACTTTTATTTAGTTTCCTATATCTCTTTCACAGAATAATGTACACATCATTCCTTTTGACTTAACAGAGATTTACATAATTAACTTGCTTTTGACGCCATTTAGTGTCTTTACATCAAACATTAATTTAAAGAAATGCTTGTATGTGACATTTTCTATTATCTTTTCAGAAATGTCAAATACTCTCACACAAAGCTTTCCTAATAGCTGACCCTGATTTAACTTTACAAAAGCAGCTTAATCGTATTTACGGCAGAGCTCGGATTAACCAGGCTTACGTACGTTGGTCTTGGTAAAGCTCTCACAGACGTCAGCCTCTCTCAAGTAGAGCATGCACCTTTGGCAGAAATTGAGCAAAAGAGTTATCCTGCTATAAAATGTTCTGCGTGACTTAAGCTCAAACCAAGCGTGTTGATTGCCGTAACTGCATGTCTAAAAACTTCATTACGTGTAAAAATGTTTGTTTAGGGTCTCGTGACAAGTTTCTTTTTGGAAAACGTTCGTCACGTAATCAGCCGATGGTGGTTTAAGAAATACCCTCTGAGCTGATATAGCTAATGTGTTTGAAGTTTGCATCGCAAATTTTATTTGTAAGTTTTACAAACAGTAAAGTGGGAGCTATGGTCTGGTAATTACAGCCGACGGAAATAAGGGGCGTATGTTATAGTCGGCCATTAAATTAACCAATTTGTCTTATTACCGTAGCTCTTACGGTGGAAGAGTATAATCGTTAAGCTTTTCCGCCTTTTTTCCGTGTGGTTAGCTCAGTTACTACTGCTGACAGTGCAGCAACAAGTAGATTTTCTTGCTGCACGTTCTAAAGTTTTACTTGGTCAGTGGGACAAAAATATTAACTAAGACGAGCAAGACGTAGCCCTGGGTAAGCAAAATATGAGAGCTTCTTGACCAAGGGACAAGCTGGAGTTCAAGTTTTTCAAGCCCTATGTAATCTTTGAACAAGCTCTCTCAGTCGTCCCCGAAATATACATGAATATTCTAGAAAAGCCCCATTTTGTTTAATATTTTAAAAATAAATGTTACCACATGAAAGAACTAAAAGTACTGAAACTAAAATGATTTCATTTGAATGGTCATAGGTCGAGAAGGTACAACACTATTTTGTCTCTTTTAGCCTTTCAGAAATTCGGACGTGGCTAACAACTAATTAAAAACTTTGCTATGTTTAACGAACCTAGCATTCAAAAGCATTAACACACATACAGAAAAAACATCCAAGGAAGTTAACGCTCTGAACAGCCTCATGAAATCAGACCTAAACAATTTCGTAATAACTGGACATAAAACGATATAAGACGTTTCTTTAGCTTTGTAAATACTCAGTTAGTTCTTGTCTTCTTGTTAAAAACTTAGTGACGTCACTCTTTTGCGTCAGACATAATCGTTAACTTCACTGAAGATCAATATGTTATGCATAAGGATTAATTTTTGTGTTTCTTCTAGAAAATGTTAACAACAACACAGCTGATCATAACTCCTTGAGACTGCACTGTATTTGTTTAATTATTTCGTCGTCATGACATCAATATCACTCATTTTGTTAGACTGAAATGTCATTCGTCTCTTCGTGATGTTTACCGCCGCAGGTGACTTTCAATACCCATAATCCCACTGGAAGTCCTTCCACTAAGAAATTTGGAACATCTCACCACTTTTGACCCATTTCTCACTGCTTTTCTCTTCTTTAGCTCAGAATCTCACATTTTTTTGCCTTTTCGAGGTTGACAAGTCTGACATTGTGGGGACGCATGGCGTAAATAGATGTTATCAAGAAAAAACAGCGTCTCTAACTTCGCGCAGCAGAAGTATGGAGAAGGGAAAAAACTTCTCGGAGTAGGGACGAAGAACCGAAAACAAACAATCAGCACTTCTTAAGAGTGTTGAACCCTTAAGAGTCCGACTAGTATCCATTATTACGACATCAAATGTAACTCAAACTTTTCGAGTCGGGCGAAATCGTATTGGACCGCAACAGTTGGTGTAACCATCCAAATGAAACCTCTTCTGCAGCACTGTAGTACTTTCTCATGGTACCATTTTTTTCTTTTAATAGTTTACAACATGAAATTTGTAATTTCCTGAATTTGTGTTAACTCGTGCTCTCTTGGCAACAATTCTCCCTGCTGCTGAGTTCATTTTTATTCCTAAGACTGAACTGACTGGCTGTACGGTCACTTCAAAGCGTTTACGCTCAATGATAACGGAGCCCAGTGTACATGACAGATCTTTTCCTGTGCCCCTGAGTCCAATGATTATAATACAACGCAATAACTTGGTGTTAAAATCGTCCTTGCTTGACGATTGAGTTCTTCTTGGTGTTTCGTTGTTGCAAACTACGACAAATGCATCTGTGGGTCAGACTTTGTTCAACAGTTTCTACACCAAGTCCGGCCAGCTTTCTTTAATTTCATTATCAACAGAAAACTTTTCGTTTACAGTTGATCTCCAGACCACAAGCGTAAAGCCGCAAGTTATTGTTCCAAAAATTAAAAAGATAAATCCGAAGACGATCAACACAAAAGCTATTTCATCGGCCACGTTCAAGCAAACTTTGGGTCCATGTGTTTCGCCGTAACACATAAAACCGTAACTTAGATATATCGTCGCCTGAGCGAAGAAAAGAAAAACGCTTACGACAAGTCCGCATACTCCAAGGTCGACCATTTCCAAACAAACAAAGAGTTAGTACGTGCGCATAAGTTCCTGTTTTCTTGCCCTGCAGCCTTTGATTCAGTTACAGAGCGATTATATCTTTTCAATATGCAAGAGTGTCCTTAACTGGACGACCATTCATCGCCTAATGAGCAGTCAACAC